AGAACGCGAAAAATATTGGTTTCTCATTTACAGCAGCCAAAACCAAACGTGTTTACATCTGTAGGAAAAGAAAAAGTTACAGAGATCCAGAGCTGGCGCTGAATGGTGTTCAACTGACATACAATGAAACAACAACATTCCTTGGTTTGATTTTTGATAGGCATTTAACATGGAAACAGCATATAGAATATACCTTGCGTAGATGCAAAACAGCTCTGAACGTAAAAAGATGCATTTCCCATATACATCGGGGAGCAGATAGAGACATCTAACTCCGCCTGTACAAATCCATGGTGATGTCAAAAATAGATTATGGATGTGCGGTGTACTCCTCAGCCAGAAAATCGATTATAAGGTAGCTAGATCCCATTCATAATGCAGACCTCCGATATGCATCTGGCGCGTTCCGCACTAATCCTTCCTCAAGCCTCTACTGTGAAACCAGCACCATGTAGCTACATCACAGACGACAAACAATGCTACTCAACTGTAGATCAAAATTGCTGTCTCTACCGAAACATTTAAACCACTCATTGATGACTCGATCTAAGCTAGCAAATATTTACGATCAAAGACCTTCAGCTACTCGTCCAGCCAACATCCGCGCAATCGAGATAGCCAAATGCTATAACATCGTCCTACCACCAGTTTTGAAACACGAACCATATGAAATTCCAGTTTGGATGTTGAAAATGCCAGAAGTAAGACTCGACACTACCAATGTAAAGAAAAAAGAATGCCTTCCCATGGATTTAAAAATCAGATTTCGATCAGTTCTCGAAGAATACATGGCAAATCACACCATAATCTACACAGATGGTTCAAAACCAAAAACGGGATTGGAAGCGCATTTGTAACTGAGAACTTGTCGAGGGCTTGGGTGCTTCCACCTGAAGCAAGTGTGTACACTGCCGAATTGTATGCAGTATTGCAATCTTTGCGACACTGTGAAACTCTCGATTCAGGAAGGTTCGTCATCTGCACACACTCGCTAAGTCTTCTCACTGCAATAGACAGACGCCAAACTGTATACTCACTGCTACAAATAATTCTCATAGCATGCCATAAATTAGAGCAGCGAGGAGCATCAGTTACGTTCATCTGCCCTGGACACGTGGATATCCCAGGCAATGAAGAAGCCGATTCTACAGCACGAAATGCCGGGAACATCCAATCAGAAATGGATATAGAAATACGACCTCGAGATGCAAGAAATGCTGTCTTGAAGTTCATCCTCACAGAATGGCAGACCACGTGGAACAGTCTTCACACGAAACTACACCCCGTTAAACAGAATATCAGTAAATGGTAACAAAATGTCAGCTACCCTCGACGAGAACAAGTGTGCATAACCCGACTAAGAATAAGACATGCAAGAATGACTTCTTCACACATGCTAAGAAATGAAGAACAACCCATCTGATGAAGCTGGGGAAGACTTCTGACAGTAAAACATATTCTGGCAGACTGCTTAAATCTCTCAAGACTTAAGACACAGATGTGGCATGAGAGGCAACATGAAGATAGATCTTGGCACCGACAAGACAGCAACAGACAAAACAATTAAGTTCCTGAAAGAGGCCAATCTTTTCTACAAAATTTAAATTTAATATATGATTAATTTTAACGTCAATCAGTAAAAAGACTAGAGGCCTTAGTTGCCAAGCATTCAAACTAACAAAAAAAGAAAATAATAATTATAATAATAATATAGCAAACAATAATTTTATTACTCTGAGCTAATAACAAATGTTACTAAATATGTGAACTTTAGTTCAGTATTAAAAAAACGTGTGAGATTATGTTCAGCGATATTGTGAATATACCTTAATTATAAAAGAGTAATTCCCCTTTATTATAGATAAAGATATAGGTAAAGGCGGTGATATGATTCATTTATATAACATGAGCCCCCTTAGAATATTTTCATACATTACAAACATTCTCGCAGGAATGATTTTAATAACTAGTTTAATAACTCCTTTTGCCATCATAGTTAGCCTCTGTTGATCAGTTGTAAATAAGAGATGATGTGAAACAGAGACATTTATGTTTTCTTGGCTCTAAAAAGCTTTGGAAGGTAAGTCTTAGCTTTTAATTATAGTTTGAATTCCCTTAGACCGATTCTAATTCTTAATGAATGAAATACCTGAAATTTGTTTTTTCGAACATATCAAAGACCGGTTGTAGTTTGCAGAATTTTAATATGGCAATGATTGTAAAATGAGCCCTGAACTTTGCTGCGTAAAAGAGCCCCCAACTTTAAAGCGCTCATGTTACATATAATACTTGTGTTTGTATTTTTGTTTTAGATGCATGCCATGACAGGTGCTAGGCCTAAGAAAGAAAAAAAAAAAAGAACTAGTGGTGCTACAGAATGAAGAAAACCTCCTCGTACAAGCTAGTTACCAAATTTCTTTGGATGAGGCTAGCCCTTCAGACATGCACTATCCTCTTATGAGCTGCCATCTATCACCACCCAAACATCATTTTTTCACATTTGTCTAATTTTTCGGTTTTCAAATGGCAGAACCAAAAATTACTTCAACAATATTATTGAAGAGTAAATCCTCATCCTATATGGATATTTTCCTTGAAACATTTGGTGCAATTTTTACAAAAATGGCATTTAAGTGTTACTGTAAATGCAAAATTTGAAGCTCCTTTACGCACAAAACTATTGTGATTTCGAAAACCTGGAAGTCGTTTAAAGCACTGCCACTCACAAATACAATAATGTACACAAATAGAATCGAAATATCACTTTAAGAATATTAAAGAAGAGTAAAACCTCGTCATATAAGGACATTTTTGTGAAAACTTTGGAGCCATTTTTAAGAAAATGGTGTTTAAGCATTGCTGAAAATGCGAAATTTAAAGGTCTTTTTCAAAGAAAACTTTTGACTTTTCGAATAACTCTAAACATTTTGTATGGATAATGCTAAAGGCACTGTTTGATATGACATGAAGATGATTTTTGGATATTCTTTTTTTTTTCTTTCAAATATCACACAAATGTAATTTTTTGTAATATCTATCAGACCGTTAATAAGCACATTTCTAGCGATTTGTAAACACTGTTGAATTACTGAGATAAGGTGCTGTAAATGACATCCAGTTAAGTTTATCGAAAACAAAAAATTTCTGTTAAAAAAAGAGCTTCAAATCTCGCATTTATAATAACGATTGAAACCTAAAAATTGAGAAAAGTTCAAAAAATGTATTTTTGGCAGTGATATATTGCAGCTGGCAAGAGCATGTGGCAAGTCTGAATAGCTAGCCCAAACCAAAGAAAATAGAAAACTAAAATGAGAAAGTCTGTGTCATTCAGTATTCACTTCTATAAATAAAACTATAAACACTTTCAATCTTGCCAAAAACCGAATATTACATTTCTATTGAAAGAATTTATTAATGTAGATTTTGAAAATTGTATCCTACAGTTATGTATAAACATTTCTGATCATTATAAATAATAAACATTTTCGATATATGATTCACTGAGAAAAATGCATCATTGAAATTACAGTTTCGACCTTTCAAGTAACAATTGGGATTATCACCTTTACATTTAACTAATCTAATTAATAACATTCAACAATAATCATTAAAATAATTAATAAAATTGAAAACAGTGTACACAACTGCAGTACAAATAACTTAAAGCATTAATGTAAACAAATATTTTCTTGTATATAATAGCATATAAATTTGCCCCGCCATTAAAAGATCCGAAATCCTGCCTCTGGATGTCTGAGTTTATAGTTGGCTCCTTTCCAGTTGGATGTTGTCATTGCGTCTGCAAAGTAAAAGTCTCCCATAATAATTTATTTTTCCTGTCCACATTTGGCATCGCTGCTTTGCAATGTTCTTAATGTTTTCCATTCTTTTAAATGGAGTGATGGTGTGAGCAAGGGGGGGGATGTGTCCCCACTGAAAATTTCAAGAGCTCTACATAACAAAACAGTTTATTTCCACAAAATGTTCAATTCCTGAATTTCTTCCTTTTAAGCTGATAGATTAGGTAATTGCTACACAACATTAGGAGGGGAAACTCTCCAAACCTCTGGCAACTTATACGTTGTTCAACATAAAATTAATTGAATAATATGTACCTAGACCTTTTACATTGCTTCATTATAGTTTTAATGTTATACTCATTTTAATATTCTTTATTTATTTACTGGTAAAATGTCAATGAAAATAATTGACTGCATTGAACCAGTTTTTCCTTTGTTTACTATTACTAATTTATTATAATGAAACCAATTTGATACATTTGCAATCATGCTACTTATTGTTTCTCTTTTGCAAAGAACATCCGTGTCATCAGCAATGTAGCTGCACTGTTTTCCTGTTTCTAATGAACAAGGGCATATTGTTTACATATAAAAGAAGGTAAGGATTAAGATCGAAATATGCGGAACTACATGCTCAATTGGCAAAGAATTGAAAAGAGGAGTACCTAAAGTTTCAACATCACAAACAATATACAATATATTAACAAATATGTATAATATTATCAAAAAATTGCAATGCCCCCCTCCTCAATAATCGGCTGGATCCGCCCCGCTGCAATTTCCTTGTGAAGGTAACATTGAAAGAAAAAAGTTATGATCAATGACGTCAAAAGCTTTTTAAAGATCTAAAAATATTCCAATATGTGCTCAGTTTGTCGATAAATAAATAATATATACTAAAGAATAGAAATTATTCAACTTGCCCAGTATCAGGCGGCGCCATTGTTGCAGTAGCGGGCGGTCCGTCTGTTAATAACTAAGACAACGGCGGGTTTGGGGGCTAGTTATTTTAAAAATAAATTTTTAAAATGTCGCTAGTTTTTTTTAATTTTATCATTATTTCGGACAGTTGTATTCGATTGAAAATGACAAAAATATGAATACCTTCTTACTAACATTTCATCCCATTTCACATTATACACACCTGTAAGCTTGAATTGCTGAATCATTAGGATGATCATGATGATGTAATTCTCTTACTTGGCGTCTTGTGTCATTAAGCATTGCTAAGAACACTGGTGCCTCACACCTCAGCATTGATAAGTGTTTTAAGAATTCTCTCCTTTCGGGAGTATCAACTGCAACAAAAAAATATTATTTCTCATTTTATATGTGAAATATATTTGAAAACTACAATCTGAATACCTTAAATTACATCGCAGAAAAGGAAGAACAATAGAAACATTACAACATGAAAGGACTTACGCGTACTATGGAACTACGTAATGTACACTATAGAAAATCCAAAACTCCAAAAATGTTTCATGCCGTTCAGTCATGGCTAAAGAGCCGTAGCTGCTTCGGTCCTGAAGGATGTTTGTGTGTGACCGTACACAATCTGCGAGTTCCTCTACCGTTAGCCCCAAAGATTAAATCATGGTTATTACCGTGGTAGCTGTATGACCTAGTACTTGAAAAGCGACTTTAAAGAAACCATGTAATGCATATCGTTCATTCAGTGGCGGCTGGTGGCCCAAAAGACTGAAGGTTGTAACTACATTGAATGACGGATATGTTATTTCCTCTATTCAAAAGTATATATAATACAATTGTGCGAATTTTAAATTAATTAAAACGAAGTTAAATAAAAGTCTATATTGAAACATAACTTACATCATTTTATTCGTCGTGTCCGCGTCAGATATATTATACATCTCTCGCGCACGTGTTTCTGGCTCTGATTTCCACTGGGCACTGAAGTTAGCACATTGCAATGAGCAATATTGCTTCGTCACGTTTCACACAAATAAAGTTATTTTATTTAGAAAATTTCACTACAGTGGTATATTTTGTAACAAACATCCTACTACACACACGCTCTTATTTTTATTCCCACCATCGTCCTCCGTCTGTAACTCGCTTTAACTGCAGGCTGCTGCTGGGCCAGGGAGAAATATGCATAGACCGTGATAGAACGGGGCTTCCTTTGTAGGCCGGGGAGTCGTGTAAACGTGCAACTTAAGCACGAGCTGCCACTGCGTTCAGTCACGCATTACAAACGTATATGTTAATGAAATGAGAGAGGTTTATAAATGCTGAATTAATACAACCATATACACATTGTGAAAACAGAGTTAAATGTGATTCTGAAAATAAAATTTAAATGTTTTTTTTTTACCAAGATCTGTACACATATCTTGTCATGCACTACTGTAGTGTGTTGTGCAATCCACCTTAAAATGTAATGTATCACATGGTACTATCATGATCACTAACAATTTTACTTTTTGGCACTTCCTTCGTAAGAAGAGAAAGAAATACAATCGTGCGCAGGAAACCGGCGAAATTTTTGCAGAAAAACTCTTATTGTTGGGTCCTCGTAAGGAAAAGGGGGATAAGTCTTGTTCCTACATTTAGTAAATTACTTCCTCTAACACGTGGTGTAGCCACAATCCATTTTGTGGGTCCTTATCGAAAATCGATTGACGGCAATGCGTCTGTCTGTGCGCCTGTCTGCCTCTGCGATCTGTGACTGCCTCAGTGACTGCAACTACCTCTGTCCGCCTGTCTGTCCGTCGCGTCGGTCGGCCGGTCCGTGCGTGCGTCATTGACAGACTGTCCGTCTGACAGTTTGTTCTTGCGCTTGTCCGTCCGCTCATCCGTCCTTCTGTCCGTCCGCCCGACTGTCTGTCCATGCATGGTCAACGTTCGCACCTACACCGTTCAGCTGCCTTGCTCAAAACGTTTATTTCACGATCGATCTGAACGAACTCCGGAATTTGGGAGTTTCAAGTGGATATTTTGATTTTCGAGGGTACTTTACACGAAGCCTCAAACACATTTTCATAATTTTCTCAAATAAGGCACCAAATTTTTTAATTAAACTTTTTTCTCGGATATCGTAAAGGACGCTTGAGAGAATGGCGCAGGTCTAGTGTTGAAATTCCAGATTATTCGAAAAGTGCAAAAGGGCAGTGTTTTTTGGGCGTCTCTCATAACTATAATATTGAAGATGGGTATTTTTTTTCCTTAATGAAATATGTTCTTTAAACACAGAACTTGGAATAAGATCACGTTCAATGTTCAAACCAATCTACATTGTTATTCGAAGTTTCTCCTCGTATATATCAAGGGATGATAAAAAAATATGGTGACTCATGTCTACCCAATGCTAAGCTACAATATATTTTAATTTCACGAATCCTAGATGTCTATCACCATATGATTATCAATTTTGCAATCCTCTGTAATCACTATGTTAACCTTTTTGTAGTTATCGATACCAATTGTCTAATGTCTATAAAAGCTTGTGTGAATTAATATAATATTAAAATTAGTCGTTTTGGTAATGTTTCAAACGCTGAAATTGAATCTATTATTAAAGATTCATTGCTGAAAAACAGCAAAAGAAACAAATAAATAGTAATGCTATAGAATGACACAGACTTTCTCGTAGTAAAGTTTTCTAATTTCCTTGGTGTGGCCTGGCTTTACAGTCTTGCCCCATCATCTTGCCAGCTGCCACCTATCGCCCCCCCCCCCCAAGTACATTTTTTGACATTTTCTCTGAGAAATTGTTGAACGAAATATTACTTTAAGAATATTAAAGAAGAGTAAAACATAGTCATTAATGACAATTTTCATTGAAAAATTTGCAGCCATTTTTTAAGAAAATGGCGTTTAAGCATTACAGAAAATGCGACATTTGAAGCTCTTTTTCACAGAACATTTTTTGAGTGTTCGAAAAACATTATTTAAAGTCACTTGCCTCTCATACCGTTTATATTTACATTTGCGACGATTTGTTCACATTATTGCATTTATGAGTACGTGTGCTTTAATTGATGTCTTATAAAGTTTCTCGGGAACTTAAAAGTTTACTGTGTAAAAATAGCTCGAAAACGGCATTTTCAGAAACATTAAATTGCAATTTTCTCAAAAACAACTCCAAATTTTGTCTTTAAACTTTTTGTATGGATAGTGCTAGTACGTGACTACTAGCTAGTACGAGAAAGTCTATGCCATTATGTCGCACCACAAGTTTTATGTTGTTCTATTATGTCATCTGCGTTTGTGTGCAAATACTCCATTAGCGTGTGTTGTTTTCCTTTATTCCCTGCAATACCTATGAAATTTGAGAACCTATGAAAACAGGGGTGTCGCTTGTCTTGTGCCTCCCGCATGAGCGAGGAATACAACGGAAACTGGTCTTGTAACCTCAACCGCCAACAGAGCAATGTCCTTCGGAAGTCAAATACACTGTCTCCAGTACTCTATGTTCATGTGTAATGTTATGTTCAGTGAAAAATATATCATTACGAACTTTTGTAAAAACTGATATCGATCACATGCGAAAATTATTATTGCAATAATTTCAAATTATTATTGCTCTTATTATTATCTCTATTATTAACGCTTTCCATGTGCACCAATGCAAATAAGGAGAGTCATATAAAAATGTCTCATTTTGTAAATTTTTAGGGCTCAGAAAACAAAACGTTTCCGTTAGGGGACACGGAAATTAGGTTTTAAGGCGTCTTTTCAGAGTACCGTACGATGTACGATAGTAGTGTGTTGCGGGTTGCATCTTAAAGATATATTTATAAGATATACATTTGTAACATGTGCGATACATAAAAATTTAGCTAGCTGTACTCTTTCTGCATATAAACTTTAATCATGCCGAATCTCACACTGCTTCGTGCGCGCAATATAATTAAAACTGGGTACAGAATTGTCTCTTCACATATTAATATATAAATATGTTAGAGCACTCTTCATTCGGAAAGTGCTTTCCTGCGAAAGGCTTGCGAAAGTGGTGTTGCTTCCGCCAGTGCTAGGTTTCTGTGCGAACTCACCCGGAGTCGCGACGTCTGTGTGCGAAGGGCGATCGGCGCACAGAGAAGCGCTGCGCGCGGCGCGGCGCGGTCGTTCCTCCAGAGCCTCGCGTAGCAGTCGCAGCTTCCTTCTGCGCACGTACAGCACACCACCCAGCAGCACGCCCACGCAGATGACTGCACCGCTGCACGCCCCTACGATGACGGCAAGCGTTCGTCCAGGGAGCCCCATGTAGCTGGTCTCTGCGGAAAACCACTCATATTACAGGTGTGTGCAGATGAGGGAAGGGGGGGGGGATTAACATAAAAGGTAATAGGTAAAAGCTGCTCTACATTCAGAAATGAAAAGGTCATATCATATATTTACTGCGCGGTTCCTGAATAACATTCTCAAACATTTACATCGAGTTTAAGGACAACAAATGGCGACAATGAAATTTGCCGCAGAGACAAATATGTGATTATTATGTAGTTCAGTGCCCTGGTGACAATGGTGAAAACCAAATACACGAGACAATGGTGGAAACCATTCTGATTCTCTCCCAGTTCCACTACACCAATGGAATGGATATTGGAAAGTGAAACAGTCGATGATAATGAAAAACCAACAGATTATGAAGATCATGATTCTGATTACACGCCATGTGCAGCACGGCTATAACCACAGCCATTACCGCTGGCAGAATGGAATCTTGTAAGAGATCTAAATCTTTCAAAGAGGCAAGAAGAATTACTTGGCTTCATGAAAAGAAAAGTGTTACAACCAAACAGTTTTACATTCCGACGACAGCTTCATCTTTTCACTTTTTTCTCAGTGACAGAAAGTTTGTTGTATTGTAATGACATAAATGCACTGCTTCCGAAATTTGGGATGATTTACAATACGAAAGAATGGCCCTTATTTACAGTAAAAGGCAGTAGTCTCAAATCTGTTCTCTTACATAACGGAGACGCGAAACCTTTTATAATACTAGTGGTCCATTCCGTTAAGTTAAAGGACACCTATGAGAACATGATATTCTTGAAGTATTGGCTAATCGAATCAAAAATGAACTAGAGGTACTACAAAATGTCACAGGTATTAATTTTCTATTTTCTTTGGTCGTGGCAACACTCTCCTGCTAGCTGCCATCTATCTCACCGCCCAAAGTACATTTTTTCTCAGTTTTTCGGTTTCTTAATAGTATAGCCGAAATATTATTATAAAAAAAAGAAAAAAACCTCGTTCTAAATGGCAATTTTAATTGAAACATTTGGAGCCGTTATTAAGTAAATGACTTTTAGCGTTATTATAAATTTGAAGCTCTTCTTCACATACAATATTTGAGTTTTCGAAAAACTTCATTGGCAGCTATTTGAAGCACTTCTACTCACAAATGCAATAGTGTTTACAAATCGCTGGAAATGCGCATATTAACGGCGTGAGACATATTTTAAAAACTTGCAGGTGTAATTTTTTAAAAACCAAAAGATTACCCCAAAATGAATTTAATTAAACAGTGCAATTAGCACTATTCGTTGGAAAAGTTTGAAAAAAATTGGAGCAATTTTTGTTACAATGGCGTTTGAGCGTTATGAAAATATGGAATTTTCAGCTTATTTAAACAGAAAACTGATGAGTTTTCGAAAAACTTTATATGTCATTATTTAAAACACATGTACTGACAAATGCAATAATGTTAACAAATCGCCACTAATGTAAATATTAACAACGTGGGAGAATAGTAAAAAAATACATTTTTGCGCCAACAGACATTACTGTTATATAGGATTCATAGCAGTGACTGTATTTTGTTTTAAAATTTGTGAATAATATTTTGAAGAAATTCGTGCGGCGGAAAATTTTCAAGCAGAGACCAAGGCTTTTATTGAATTATCTAACAAGTTAGAAATAAGTAGGACTCTTGGGTGAAAAATAGCGAATAGAAGAATATTCTAACCTAAAATATCAGAGAGATTTGTGATAATTTACTGGATGGGCTGTCTTTGATAACAGTCGAGGGTGACTTTGATTAGTATTTTTTGCCAAATAAATCATGTAATGCGGGTATCAAACAACGATATTTCTATTACATGTTACAGTATTTAATATAAAGCATCTGGCATTGCTGGCACCTTTCAATCCTTCAAAAGTTATAACCAAACTTTTTGATTATTAATTATACCACTAAGAAGATCACAATAATGAAAATGTTATGTAGGAGTTACACATTTGCAAGACTACATATTTGAAGGATAAAAGACTTGCTGACTTTGGTGCTAAGGAAGTAAGAAAGCGGAAAGACTTGCCGTTGAACAAGGAAAATGTATAGATAGAGAAAGGTGGAGATTAATATATGAGAGATCTCGCACGGGTACTCTAGTAATAGTAGTAGTAGTAGTAGTAGTAGTAGTAGTAGTAGTAGTAGTAGTAGTAGTAGTAGTATAGTATAGTATGATAGTAGTATAGTAGTAGTAGTAGTAGTAGTGTATAGTAGTAGTTAGTAGTTAGTATAGTAGTAGTAGTAGTAGTAGTAGTAGTAGTAGTAGTAGTTAGATGTTGTAGAGTAAGTAAGTAGTAGTAGTAGTAGTAGTAGTAGTAGTATGTAGTAGTAGTAGTAGTAGTAGTAGTAGTAGTAGTGATAGTAGTAGTAGTAGAGTAGATAGTAGTAGTAGTAGTAGTGTAGTAGTAGTAGTAAGTAGTAGTAGTAGAGTAGTAAGTAAAGTAGTAGTAGTAGTAGTAGATAGTAGTAGTAGTGTAGTAGTAGTAGTAGTAGTAGTAGTAGTAGTAGTAGTAGTAGTAGTAGTAGTAAGTAGTAGGTAGTAAGTAGTAGATAGTGTAGTAGTAGTAGTAGTAGTCAGTAGTAGTAGTAGTAGTAGTAGTAGTAATAATAATAATAATAATAATAATAATAATAATAATAATATAAACTAATGGTGCTACAGAATGGCAGACGTTTCCGCAATAGTTTTCTATTTCCTATGGCCTCGACTAGCTATTCGAACTTGCCACATACCTCATACCACACCACATCTTGCCTGCCACATCTATCGCCGCACAAAGTACATTATTTTGAAATGTTCTTAATTTTTCGGTTTCCTTATAATAAAACGGAAATATAATTTTCAGAATATTAAAGAAAAAATGGCGTTTGTGTGTTTCTGAAATGCGGAATTTTGAGCTATATTACAGAAAACGGTACAGTTTTCGAGAACTATATGACATTCTTTAAAGCACATGTACTCACAATAATGTGAACAAATTGCCGCTAAAATAAATATTAACGGCATGAGACAAAAGTCAAAAAATTACATTTTTGTAATTTTTGAAAAAACAAAATAATAGATCAATATGGCGTTTATGACCTCATGACATCTTTTAGAGCACATTTAGCACTATCTCTACCAAAAGTTCAAATAAAATATTTGGAACCGTTTTGATAAAATCGTGATTTGACTTTTTTTAAATTGCACATATTGCACGCAATATTGCTCGAAGACAAGTAATTTTTTTTAAAAAAAGGTACATGACCATAATAAAAGATCTCACTGTGGAGAACAATTATTTTTGAAGGAAACATTTCTATCTTTAATTTTGAAGTTCTAGGAGAGCACCGAAAAAATTCATACTTTTGAAATTTTCGAAAATTCAGAGTTAACCGTGAAAATCGAACCTACACCATGTTTTATAAGTGCGTTACTCTATTCGTACAAGAAATTTAAAGAAAACATTTAAAGCGATTTTTGAGAAAACAATGTCCGAAGTGCTTCATGTAAAGTACCATGTTTTAGACGCTAGTAGTGTTCACAGACACCAAACGGACGGACAGACGGTCGCGCAAAAAAACACTTTTTCGATAACAGGAGTCCCCAAAATATGTATTTACGTCCCTTTAATTACTCCGAAAATACGCATGTATACGGGAAAGTAAAATTATTGATTCATAAAACATGAATTTACATTTAGAGAACGAAACTTTTATAATCTAACTCCGTACTGAACTAGTAAGACCACACTGTACTGTCACTTCACTTCACTGCCCTGTGACTTTGAAATGACTTCCTTCATTATTTGTCTGCTCTGCACTGCACAATTCTTCACTTCACAACATAATACTTATACATCGCTATATAACCCACAATTCTTGGTTTACTTATTCTTCATTTACTTAGAAATGGCCTAAATTAATTTTCTAAACTGTTGAACGCTTCAAGGGAAGAGTTCAAAGGATTTTGCAGGCAATATATTCCATGCCGTGATCGATTTGTGAAAGAAAATTTTCCGACATGCGTCTTCTGTGGTCTTAGATTTATTTTGTGCCTGTGATCCCCCCAACTGATGTATGAAGGGATACTTAACCGCCGATTAATTACTTTCCAAACAGGATGACCGCTAAAGGATTTAAAAAGCGCAGAATCTTGTATGTTTCCGAATGAATAACACCCTGCCATTTTCTTGTTCCTGAAAGTAAATTTAACTGCTCTACGCAGAATCATTTCCAAACTTTTACACTGCATAATTTTGGGCGGATCCCAACAAATTGTTCCATATTCCATTATCGGCCGAACAAGCGATAAATAAGCAATTTCCATCGCGTTTACCCTATTCTTCTTTAAAATGCACATTACAAAGTGACGAGATCTCAAGGCTTTCCCTACAACAAAATCAACGTGACTTTTTCAGCCTAATTTACTGTCGAAATGGATTCCTAGGTACTTGCACGAAGAAATTTTTGGAATAATGACGTTTTTTAAATGGTAATTTGTTTCTCTTTAGTTATGACCCCTGTTAAAAGTGATGGATTTTATTTTACAGCTATTTATGGTCACACAAACTATTGCTGTTTCTTGTATCTTTGGGATGGTAGGTTATGGCTGAGAATCAGAATATTGTAAATCCAATATTGTAACAAAATGAGATTTCTATTTCATTGTGTTGTATATATCTGTCTAGATGTGTGCATCAAAAGGGAAAATATCCATTAATCCAAAGTCCATTATCATGCAACGAACTCATTTCATAGTAACTCATTCCATACACAAATTTTAAACGGCTCTCCTGAAAATGTATGTAAAATGGCCTTAGAACAGTCTGGCTCTCAACAATTGCATTATGTAGTCAAAAAGAGAATTTTGAAGAGAAATTTTCAATCCTGGTAAAAAATGTCACATGAACCTCAAAGACAGTGTACCACCACTTCATCTAGGCCCACAACCCATCACTGCCTAAAGTCCATTTTTTTAAATTCCCAATTTTATGGT